CACACACACACACACACACACACACACACACACACACACACCAGCTCTGTCAACCGCAAGACTGACAGATAAGGGTGCGTGTAAACTTGTGCTACATTATGCGAACACACGTCTGACGTGTAGAAAAACACGGGCTATTCACTAAATCCTTCTTTTTTTTTCCACCAATGGAGAGGACAAACTCTCCAAATTAGCTCCTCAAATATTGACCGGGAGAAATTGGTGGTCTCCCGCTCGCTGTCAGTGCTGAGGGGCTCCTAAACACACTTTGGTCAGGTTTCGAGGTTTCGCATTGATTTATTTTTGTTATTTGTTTGTTTAAATATCGTAAAAATAAATGTATGCTCTGGTGAGGCTTGGTTCTGCTTCGGGCACAGAGCGACCAATGTGCAGAGGGGAGAGGAAGCAGCAGAAAGACGATCCTTATTCTCTCTTTTTATGCGCCCCCCCCCTCCACAAATGAGCTCACTTCAGCTTGTTTGATCTGAATATTGTGTTCACTTTCTCAAACGTAATTTCTTGTTTTTAATGGAAGTCCACACTTCCCAGAAAACAATTGATTTATAGTTTTGCACGATAAAATTACATTATTACCTGTAGGAAGATAAAATGTCAAATCAAGAGCTACAAGGTCAAAATAATCAAATAGGAAGACAAAATTATAACTATGAGATTAATTAAAACCCATAAAATTATGTGTAAATCAATCTTTTTATGGTTAAAATGTTGTTTTCCAGCTGAAGCCATTCTGTTGTGTGGAAAATTACTGGCTCTGTGTGCAGTAGAAAGACAGACAGGGGTCAAATGGTTTTAATTTTACTTTAAAATGGCTACGCAGAGGTTATACCTACTCAGAAAGCTTCAGGGTAAGGTGAAACAATTCTTGAGATCAAAACATGGCCACCTGTGCGGACAGTTGGATGTTAAGTGTGAAGCGAAACTGTCAAGAGCGATATACGCAGTGAGCAAACTCAAAGGGAACCTGCAGATAAAGCTAAGTGACACAAAACGCAGAATACTAAAAACAAAGCTCTTGACATACCAAGCTCTTTCCCTCTGGAACATGTTTTAAAACATCAAGAAAAATGTCTACAAGAAATATTTTGTAGAGGATTAGTATTAAACTGTCTGTGATTGAACCCTGAGCTCCACAAATGTACTGTTTTTTAATTATTTTTATTTATATTAATGTTGTTTTTTCTGTGAACCCAAGGAAGGTTTGCACAATGTGGACAATTTTAGCCTAACCTGACTTAACCTTACCCAACTCATCACTGTTTTGATTTAATAAGTCAAAATCAGGAGCGATAAACAAGTTTTTCAATTTTGTTTTTTGTATTAGACAGAAATGAGAAAATGATTCATACATAATCATCATATCTAATTTGTATTTTTATTATTTTCTTGGCATAGCCACACCTCCATGCATCTCTGTATTTTCAGGAAGGTATGACAGTGAACGCAGCAGCGAGAGGATTGTTTTGACCTGCTGTTGCTGACTAGAAAAGAAATGCCAGACGGGAATAAAGAGGCAATTACAGCAGGTCAATATCCTCTCGCTCGTTTTTGTCGAGCTGAGTAGCGTTCTGGAAAGTTCCTCTCTGCTCATGTTGCAGAACAAAGTCCTCTAACCACAGAGGAAACGAGCAGGAGGAGGAGAAAGAGGAGGAGGAGGAGGAGGAGGAGGAGGAGTGCTCACCTGGTGGCCAAACCTCCTACCCCACAGTAAAACATCATGTGTGGTGAAGGTGATGAGAGAAAAGGGGGAAGAGTTGGCAGCATGTTGGTGTTTCTCTATTATTAGCGGGTAAACAGCTCCGATTTTAGACGCGCTGCTGCTGCTGCTGTTGTTGTTGTTGTTGTTTTTCAAGCGGATGGAGGAGGTCTGGTGCCAGAGAGTCTCACACTAACTCCCCGTCATCCTCGTCTCTGTTGCTGAACTCATGTTTACTTTCCCTCTTTCCTCAAAAACCTCAATTTCTCAGCTTCCTGCCCCGAATCAGAGAGCGAGGTGTTGCTTTTTAATTGAACCCTGAGCTCTCGAGGTGCTGTCCTTGAAAGAGGGCCGGAGGGTTTAACCATACTCAAGGATGGAGGACGGAGTTTGAGCAGGAGAATGACAGGGTTGATAGGATCTGAAGTGATGAGGTTTGGAGCTGTTGAGGGATTAATTTGAGTTGATACATCCACCAAGCCCCATCAGTCCCATTAAATTCACGCGGTATGTCGAAGTTAGAAAAAGGGTAAAACCGTTCTTGGATCCACCCCCAAATTTATTGGGTTCTATCTTCGTATCCCATCAATCAAGCCGCACCAAACTGCACAACCTCATACATATCAGTTCATGCATTATTTTCTTGGAAATTGGTGACGGAAATGTCAAAGTAAAACGCCCTGTCTCACAATGTTATGGAGCGGGAAAACGCGCCAACATTTAATGGCCCATGCTCCGTTCCTCCACCAAGTTTCAAGGAAATCAGCTCAGTAGCTTTTGTACAATCCTGCTGTAAAAACACAAACAAACCCAAGGACAGGGGCAAAAACCTAACTTCCTTGGTGGAGGTAAACAGAGGGCTGAGTTGTAAGGATTAAAATCAACACACACAGAAATAAAAGACCTTGGAAACAAAGCCACGCTGAAGAATAGTTTGCATGTTGAAACAGAAGTCTGTGCCAAAACCAATGGACTGTTCAGGTGTGAACTGAACATTCATCTTCTGTCAGCTGAGTTAAGCCTCATGTTTGTTTGTGGCCCTTTTGAAACAGTTTCAGCTCGACTCGCTGCACCGCACTCGTTCACAATGCTGCTGTGACAGCGAGTGTTTGGTGTCACAACTGAAACACAGTATCCCGGGAGGAGGTTCTTGCAAATTGCGTGTTCACGTGCTGACAAGTGCTGCTGCTGCCGTGTTCCGTGTTGCTGCTCTCATGTTGCCCGTGATGTCTTTGCGGGACGCCGCACTCGGGCCGGTCCAGGCCGGGGCTCGGCCCAGCGACCAGCAGCTGAAGAAGGGAAGCAGCCAGGCCACAGAGCGGCTAATTACAGACCCAGAGCGGGGGACAACCCTGTGGAAACTGTGCGCAACTGACATAAGGCACAGGAGGAGGCGGAGAAGATCTACTGTGCGGAGATGTTTTTGTTTTGCCGTCTTTTACTCCTTACTCCTTACAGAGGAAAAACTACAGTTACACAATAGGGATTTTTTTCATTTGATTCAGAACATAATGAATAAAGGAACCTAAAGAGATTTTCAGTTTGCAAAAAGCAGCCACAGGAAGTTTGACATTTTGTTCACCTAAATGTTTTAGTACAAGAAGAAACATGCACATCTACTTTATCTGAGAGCCAAGTCTCAAAACTGTAAATTATAACTGTCAAATGTCATTAACTAGAATGTCACTAAGTAGAGTTCATACCTCTGCCAAGGACAACAGTCTCCTTATGAAACCACATTTCAATCCACTAGATCCAGATTTTTATTTGGATCACACTCAAACGGACAGGGGTGAACACATAACCTCCTTGGCGAAGGTAATAGATTTTCAGGTTACTAATTTTATTTGCTTCTCAAGTGGTAAAAGCCCAGATTCTTTATTTCAGTACCTGAAGAAAAGCTGAAACCAACAAAGGAGTTTTTTCTGCCAGCACCCTAGTAACAATCTCAGATTGGATCTCACTTAGAGCGGGGCTCTACCCGCAAATAATCACATATGTCATTTGTGCCAGTTAAGACCAAACGATGTTGTTTTGACCCAGTCTGAGTTTACAGATGTGTCCAATGTCCTTTGTTCGTGTGTCAGCATGAGAAGAGTCAGAGAGAAACTGAACTATATCCGATCCGAGTGCGTTCACACCTGTACTTAGAGCTGTCCACTTGAGATGAGATCACAAAATCCACATGTTAATATCAGATGTATACTGAGCCACTGACAACAATCAGAAATGGGGTTAAAAGAACTGCAGCTGGATATTCAGTTGCAAAAATCCTTTAAAATATCTCCATGAGAACATATGACAGTAACTGGAACTCAAGACTTATGACTCACAAACTACTACTTATCAGTCAACACCTGCAGACCCAG